CCCCAAAACCCCAAAACCCCAAAACCCCGTCTGATTAAATAGCAAAAGTATTAAATTGATAGAGAAGATAAATATATTTTAAAACTAAATAAATAAATGGATTAAACAACTAGTAACAAATAACAATACTTTAGCAATGGCGCGGAATCCAGACCGAAGAGGTAAGGTCTGTTTCGAAGAATTTCTAACTCATTGATAAGTCCATTATAATCAGCATTCAACTGGGAGAACATGAAATGCTGTGGAAAGAAACGAATGAATAGCAGTAGAGAAACTGAGTTTTAAAGAGAGTCAATAACCAGAAGGCAAGGTATTATAGCCAATGGTGGCGGTCTATTATCTTAATATTCTCAGCCAGGCTTGGGGATTAATCAACAGCATGGAAATTAGGATTTTATATTTGATAGACCTTCAATCACATCTAATATGAGTCTGAGAAGAGAATAAGATTACGCTAATGGCTATAAGCGACCTAGGCATGAATTTAGCCATAACTCATTCAAGAGCAATTAGACAGCTTAAAACCTACAGAGGCCTGATAATCAGCTGTTTGGTAGTCTCTAATAATATGATAAGTTACGATCTACTGCTGTTTTTAATAACTCCTAGGAATAGAAATCTAGGTCCCATAGCCTTATCTCAAATGAAGATAAATAGAGGGAGTTCAATGCATCAAAATAGAAGTAATAAGATGAAATATCATAGATAGATGAGATAATAAAAAATAAGTAAATTGAAATTGAGCAGCTGTAGCAACTAAAGGAGTAACACCTTCTGCAAACACAAGTCAATTAGGTAGTGATCAGCTAGCCGTTGAGATTAAATCAATAAGATAATGCCAACAATAGCAGGATCTAAAATAGTACAAACAGCAGCTCATTTATAAAGTCTGATTATGTTAGGATAAATACTCAAAATTATGAATAGGCAGATACTTTCAAGGAAAAACCTCTTTTCGGGATGAGCAACAGTGGCCTATTCAGCCAGCCATATTCAAGATAGTAAATATTTAATACATCTAAAAGTACAATCAACCCAGTTAACACTAATATGAACACTAGCTTCGATACCACTATGTCACGGGCAAATAATAATGATTTTAGCATACCTTTTATGCTACCAAAAAGAGTCCAGTAAATGAGTTCATCCTCTCAAACTAAATACACAATAGACTCTCTGTTAGATGAGCCTGTATCGTTCAGTTAGTAACTCAAAGTTTCCAATTTTCAATAGTATGCAAACGGTATTAAGGACATAAATTAGCATCAGCCTAACAAGTCTAATAATGAAGAGGAAAATGGAGGTCATATTTACTAGCATTATAATCACCATTAAAATCTGTAGAAATAAAATGAATGATTTGAACTGAGAGTAAAGCAGCATCCCAATCATAATAAAAGATGCTGGTTTTCCAATCTATCAGATATCAATGCTACGATCTAGCTTTTATAAATAAATGAAATGACCCAAATTTAACATTCAAACATTTATTTCTATTTTAATTTAGAGATGAATTTTAACTTCACACATAATCTATCTTCCTGGGGTTTTGGGGTTTTGGGG